TACAAGAATCAAACATTAATAAACAAGAATTTAACAGACTTAACTTGATTTCCTCCCTTACAAGTGGAATTCTGCCCGTAAGGGAAAAATGACTTTGAGTGGAGAGAAGGGAATGACCTACTGTTAAATTAATTCTTTTTTTACTCAGATACTGTAAATAAATACCTTTCTTATACACACACTTCAAAAAGTCACAGTTTTCCTTTCTGGCAGATTCAAAAATAAAATACCTAAAGTAGGGTGGAAGTTAGGAGCAGGGAAACAGTTCATTTCTTGTTAAACTGCTCAGGGAGAAGAAAGAGTTGTCATCTGCACTGTGTCCTTTGCTGGTAGAATGGCCAGGGAAGGGCAGGCTTTCCTAGCTCCCCCCATATCCTCCCACTCCCTTGGTTTCAAATGCTCAAAGGGCTCCAGCTGGAGAAGTGTCCAGGAGAGTCAGGGCCAAGAAATGTCTTTTTCCAAAATGCATCATGTCCTCAGGCACTTTTCTGTGACCAAATGCTTCCATTTTCATGTAGGCAAGCTAAAGATAAAAACCATCTAAAATGGAAGTATCTCAGAACCAGTAGTCTGCTCTTTCCCCTTTTAATAAATAACAAACAGACCAGGACAGGTGATTGCTGGAATATGAAAAGGCAGGTGCTTGTTATGAATGGATTGTAGATTAAAAGGTGGGAAATTCTCAAAAATCTTCTTTTTTAGTCATATACAAGATCAACTCCTAATACTTGTTAATAAATGTTCATTTGAAGTTAAAGAAAGAAAAATAACCTTGCTTTGATTACCTCAAGCACGTATAACACATCAAAAGTGTCAAGCTTTGTTCTGTGAAAATGTAGAAGTAACTGAAAAAACACATGGGAAGACTGAGAAGGAGATTATTTGTAAATGAAAAACAGTGCCTCCCTACAACAAGCAGGTTCAGGAGAACAGCATTACCTATAGCCTCATATTCTGGCTGCCACATCTGAACAATCCCTAAAAGTATATGCTCATTATGCTTTAATGTGGAAAAGAAAAATGGAATAACTTCCCTTGGGAGAAAGGGTGTGTATCAAATATAGGGCATAGTCATATTATTTCTCCCGAGGATTTTACCTTCTCGTAGCTAAATACAAGCAGAATTATTAGGCCTCATTAAAGAAAAAGCAGTAATTAAAGCACTTCCCACTGAGGAGGAGAATTAAATATAGTTTAACAGCCCTTCTTAAAAAAAAAATAGTAGCAAGACAACAAGATGTGGAGTTTTGGTTGTGGGGTTTAGGGGGTATTGGGGGGGAGGGGATGGGAAGGCAGGGCAGGGATGTTTAGGAAGTGATTTCAATTGAACAACCATGAAACTCGCCCTACTCAAAGCCACTACTGGGTTTCATCCTGATCTTAAACATAACTTTGCCATGGAGCTTACAGGGAGGGAAAATGACAGAGAAAACAAGGGGAGAACTCTTCCTGATGTGGAGTATTGCTAGATGCCCCAGCTCTTCCTCGAGAGATAAGAAAACTCATCCCTCTTGCACCACTTTGCCACAGTTGCTCCAGGCAGCAGAACTGTTTTGCAGCATTGCAGCACCACCCCCTAAGGACTGTCAGTCCATCACAGTTTCTTTAAGCAGATAGTGCTTGCACATGTAGAAGAACCTACTAGCATTATACTCTTTTGAAGTATGTGGCACATGATATCATCATCCATGAGATTTCCCTACACAGAATAAGGGTTTGCCCCATTTTTGCAGAGAATTTGCTGGAGAGGAGACCAAGTGTCTGGATTCTCCTCTTTCTCCAGGTTATAAATCCCATTGCTACTTTGGCTTACTGTGTTTTTTGCCTCATACCTTCTGGAAAGATACATCTGTCAGCAGGATGCGCCTCAGGTTTGATTCTTAGATTATCACATCACCAGGACCATTGTATGCTTAATGCAACCTAATTTCTGATGTATACAGGCACTTCACATAGGTTGGGAAGAAGAAAAATCATTATTGCTCCTCCCTGACAGAATGGAAAACATCTGTTGGAAAACAGATGTTGGCCTACGTTACCTTTAAGGGTTTTGAAGAACCAGACCACGTACTGTACTATATTTCCACAACACTGTTGCTTCAGTGGTTTAGACTGAGATCCTAGAACTAAGCAGGGAAAAGAAATTAGAAGAGATGGCATCCTAATGCCATTTCAATATAAATTAAACCTACATTTTACCTAGTTGTTTTTACAACCTTTATCTTTACTATCTTGCATTTACCAGCAGACAAGCATTGAGTTGTTTGCCTTGATCAAGGCATTCTACTAACATGCTTAAAAATTCCACTCATTCAACAAAGGGAATAAATAAATAAATAAAATGTTCCCTTCCCCAGCACCATCAGTTCTAATTGTCAACAGAGGAGAATGCTTCCCTTTGGGCCACAACTGATATATTGAAATGAAAATATATTGCTTTATATTATCAATTTCTATCTCAACACAAATCAGTCATTGTAAGTGGTTTAAGCTGCACACCACTAAGTCTGTATTATCTATGCCCATTTCTTCCAAACAGGATGTCTCATGCAAGACCTTTAGCCCTAGATGTGTTGTTCATCACATGGGCAAATACAGATCAACACCCAGGAGAGGTTAAGGCAGTCAGACTGCCTAATCTGAAATTCTTTCAGTGGTTCTGCTTTCTTTGTGAAACAGAAAAATTGCAACTACATGCACTTGTTAAGACATCTCTTTGTTGTTTGGCATACAGCAGTCATCTCCAGTTTTTATAGTGAATGTTCTCCTGGGCCATAAATGCAGATAAAGATAAAAGATACAAAGAAGAAAAAAAGGTACTGTAGCCCCCAGGCCCAGTATGAGACTCACCCACCATTATATTTCACTTACTGTTCCAACCAAGCTCTGAACCTTCCCTTCAAATCTTTCAGTATCCCCTTTACCTATATTTATCTCAACTCCTACTGAAATGAGGCTTTGATTTTTTTTTTTTTTAATTATTATGACTGGCAAATAAGCTGTGTAGGATTTATGAAAGGACATGTTTCTGTCAAAGTATTTCTATTTATGGTTTTTCTTCCCCTAGAACAAAAAAACAGAATACAAGCAGCAAGCCATGTAGGATGGTGTCCTAGTTTCTACTAAGGGAGCTGTAGTGAAATGTGTCACTTGGGTAGCTATATTTAAGGGTTAGCTAGAGACAGAGTGTAATTACACTATGAATTAGAAGCTAGACATGCTGAACACTAGTGAAACCTGCTAGAGTGTCACAGCTGAAAGAAGATATTTACTATCAAAGACAAGCTTCTCATCTTTTAGTGAAACTTAGTTTAGATTTGTTTGCTGGCTCAAAGCTAGTATGATAAACAGTTTCAAGTGCAACCCTGAGAGGTAATTTCAAGGCAAGGTTACTTTGGCAACCAGATAAAGTGTTATTTTCCCAAAGGGCCTGAGGCAGTATGTATTAACTAGGTTACTAAAACAACCTCAATTCATCTAATGTTTAATCCTAGAACTGCTCAAGCGCTAAGAAATACAAGTACTATTGTGGATACACACAGCTGTATTTTTTACTGACAGTTCAGGCAGTTTAAGTGCTTCTCACTCCTCTGTATGTCAGAAATCAAGCATGCAGACGAGAGAAAAGCAAGTGCCTGTTGCCCTGCACACCGGGTTAACAGGCCCATCAGCAACGGAACAGGGTACTCTCAGAGCAGTGTCCACAGGCAGTGGAGTCAAAACAGGCAAGAAATTAGTTATGCACAGCAGCTCCCTTTTAATTCTCTCTTCCAGTAATGCCTTGCAAGCATTTCAGTAAAGGATCACAATAGAGGCTGCACAAATGTGCATACCAGCTCTTTCAGAGCAGTAAGGACCACAGTAATTGTAGCACTGGTAGCAGTTCTCAAAGCAACACTTTTTTTTAGCACAGGACCACTCCCCTAAGTGGTGTTTCGATTAACTAAGACTAAACTATTGGGTTACTGCTACACTCCTTGAGGGATTTTTGTAGAAGGAATAGGGTCTGTGAGACTTTGCTAACTACTGACAACAGCATAGTTGATTCATTCAGGGTTCTTGCAACCTACAAGCACAGCAACATAAATCCCCCCTCCCTCACTGTAAGGAAACCACACTTACCTTTGCAAAGATGCACAACAGTGCGCTGCTGCACTTCCCTCCCCTGCCTGGGTAGAGGTTCATTTCCTACCACAGGGGCCAGGAGCAAACAACTGTCCTGTAAACATGTAACTTGGAGACAGCTATTGCCAGGATATTTATAGGTGACTAAGATTATACATTATGCTCTGGACAGCCTTTTGAGACACATCACCTAGAAATATGCCCGTCACCTCATATCTCCCAAAGGGAATTGATTGCCCCATAGAGTAAATCCTTCTACAGGGCAAGCTAGTGGCGCCTTTTGGGAAACACATGAATTTTATTCCTGAAGAGAAAGTTCAGGTCTTGAGTTCTCAAGTTGTCTGCTAGTACAGACCTATGCTTCTCTGCATGCAATGTTTGTATTTAGAGAGGAGAGTTGGGGAAAGATATCAAGTCAAATCACAGTCAGCCACCCAAATGTATGTACTATAGGTCCTGGAACAAGTTAAATAAGCTGCTGAATGGCAGTGGGGAAGCGTGCAGCTATCCTATCAAATCAGTTTTGACAGCTTGTAATGTGGAATTCAATATCTTCTCTCTGACCTCACTACCATGTATGAGCATAAATAGGAGTTGCAGGATTCTCAAGTGTAGTGTCTCGTTTCTACTAGCTAAAGCAGCTTTCATCCCACCAACTAGATAAGCTGTTACACACAGGAGTTTTCATAAATTAGCTGTCATTCTTAGCTGAGCTACTACAGTTTCCACATGCTGCTAAATCACAGCCTGAGAATTCTTCTTTTATTGAGCTTAAGCTTTCACTAAGGTTAAGGAATAAACTGAGAAGTAAAGATATAAAAAACTACACAGAAATTACTTGCTTAATAGAGAGAGAAATAAAGCAGAGGAGACAGTTTAGGACACAAAAAGCCTTTATGTTTGAGAAGTTAACCATTTCAACAGAAGACTCTGAAGTATTTTTGCAACTACTGTTAACATTGGACAGTCAAGGATACAAAACTGCTGACAGAAGCAACAGTGGAGAGCACCAAATTAAAAAATGCATGCTTCAGCACAACTGCACAGATTCCTTCTCTCAATGAATACTTGCCTGCTCAGACTATACTTAATGCCTACCCATCTCAACTTTACGCCTCATCTTCCTCTCCTTCCTCTTCAAACTCCCCCTGCTCATCAGCAGTGGCATCCTGGTATTGCTGGTATTCGGAGACCAGGTCGTTCATGTTGCTCTCTGCCTCCGTGAACTCCATCTCATCCATGCCCTCGCCGGTGTACCAGTGCAAGAAAGCCTTGCGCCGGAACATGGCCGTGAACTGCTCCGAGATCCTCTTGAAGAGCTCCTGGATGGCCGTGCTGTTGCCGATGAAGGTGGCGGACATCTTGAGGCCGCGCGGGGGGATGTCGCAGACGGCCGTCTTCACGTTGTTGGGGATCCACTCCACAAAGTAGCTGCTGTTCTTGTTCTGCACGTTGAGCATCTGCTCGTCCACCTCCTTCATGGACATGCGGCCCCGGAAGATGGCGGCCACCGTCAGGTAGCGCCCGTGGCGGGGGTCGCAGGCGGCCATCATATTCTTGGAGTCGAACATCTGCTGCGTCAGCTCAGGCACCGTCAGGGCGCGGTACTGCTGGCTGCCGCGGCTGGTGAGAGGGGCGAAGCCCGGCATGAAGAAGTGCAGCCGGGGGAAAGGCACCATGTTGACCGCCAGCTTGCGCAGGTCGGCGTTCAGCTGGCCGGGGAAGCGAAGGCAGGTGGTCACGCCGCTCATGGTGGCCGACACCAGGTGGTTGAGGTCCCCGTACGTGGGAGTGGTCAGCTTCAGGGTGCGGAAGCAAATGTCATACAGTGCCTCGTTGTCGATGCAGTAGGTCTCGTCCGTGTTCTCCACCAGCTGGTGCACGGACAGGGTGGCATTGTAGGGCTCCACCACCGTGTCCGACACCTTGGGCGAGGGCATCACGCTGAAGGTGTTCATGATGCGGTCGGGGTACTCCTCCCGGATCTTGCTGATGAGGAGGGTGCCCATCCCAGAGCCTGTGCCTCCGCCCAACGAGTGGGTCAACTGGAAGCCCTGGAGGCAGTCACAGCTCTCCGACTCCTTCCTCACCACATCCAGCACAGAGTCCACCAGCTCGGCGCCTTCCGTGTAGTGCCCCTTGGCCCAGTTGTTGCCAGCCCCGCTCTGACCTGGAGGGCAGACCACAAGCAAGGTGCCACATTAGCGCCCCAGGGACAAACAGAGATGACGCCACTTTCCCCTTCCCCA